TTCTTTTTTTCAAAAATAATCTAAGTTTAGTAATGTTTCTAAACAGAAACGCCACAAAAAAACGTTCGCCTGACGTTACCTAAAAAAAAGTTCAAAAAACCTAGCACAAAATTTTAGTACAAAATTCGGTTCCGTAAAACACGGATTTCCGCGTACCTATATCAAGTGGTTCATTTAAAAAATTATCATTTCGCAAAATATATTTGTTTATTTTTTTGATAAAAAAATCTTTAAAAATAGATAGTGCTGAGTCATCTTTTCATTGAAACTTTACATTTAAACAAAAACGCAAAATTTTATTAATGTTGAGTTGATATACATTAAAGACATTCGCATCTTTAAATAAAAAATTTGAATGCGTTAAGCAATTTTTAAAATATATTAAACGCATAGCGTGTTTCTTACGACAATAAAGAAGTTGCAATTTACTTTTGCTTGTGCTTCTCCAAGCAATATTGGCATAATTAATATAACTATGTATAAAGGAGTAGTAGAGTTGCATTAAACTTTTTTTATCTAAATAAAATCTGATCTTAAATAGGATGCCAATACTCTTAGCAACTTTATTGCTAATGTAGTCGATATGAGTTTTCTATGTAATATTTTCATCAAGAATTATTCCTAAAAACTTAGTAGCGGTTTCTCTTTTTATTTCAATTTTATCAATATATAGTTTTGGCATAAAGTTTGGCAAAAATCGTTTTTTCGATAATGGGTGAAACAGAATATACTTTGTTTTGTCTATGTTTAAAGTTAAATTTATTACATTTAAACCAGTTAGAGATAAGCTTTAGTTCTTTATTCATTTCGTAGAACAGTTTCGTAATGCTAAGGTTTGATGCAAATAAATTTGTATCATCAGCGAACATGATTTTTTTAAAGTTTGATACTTTATTTATATCATTTACATAAATTAAAAAAAGAAGAGGCCTAAGAATCGAGCCTTGAGGAACACCGCAAGTTATTTGAATCATTTCGTTTTGGCGTCTGTCATTGACGGGGACATATTATTTTCTATTTGTTAAATAGCTTTTATACCAATTTAAAAGATTGTTATTTATCCCATAATATTTGAGCTTTTGCAGTAAAATTTCATGATCGACGGTATCAAACGCTTTTGATAGATCAATAAATACACCTAAGGTATATTGCTTTCTATCAAAAGGTGTATTTTTTTCTATCAAAAAACTTAATTATGCCAACTATCTTGAAAACCAAATTGCTAAAGTTTGTTTTTCACATTTTTTTATCATTAATTAAAACATAAGAAATTTGTACAAGCATGTAATTAAATGTAATTAAAAAATACTTCCTAAATAAAAACTAAAAAGTTTTATTGTTAAAACAAAAATACTATTTTTTTTTTTTTTTTTTTACAAATTTTATTCAAGGATTTAGAGATAATTTCTTTCCATCTTTGTTGATATTGAACACTATTAATAATCAAAGTTATAATATAAAAATTAAAATTTTTTTGAACTTTTTTCTAACTTTGATTTTCTAAATGAAAAAAAACAATATTTTAAATTAAAAATAAAATCATCCAACTGTAACTGTAAACAGCATCCAACTGTAACTGTAAGCAGCATTATACTTATACCCGTTATACTCCGCTGTTCTGATATGCTTCGCTCTACCCTACATACATTTTTCACAACTAATGTTTCACGACATTCCTTCTAATTTTTGTTTTTATGGTTTAGTGACCAAATTTATAGTATTTTAAAATTTCAGTGGCTTAGAAGAAAAAAAGTACTTATTATTTGAAAATCTAAAAAAAAAATATTGTTGAATTGGTGACTCTTAATATTGCTAGTGCTATAATTTATAAGTAGGGGAAGTGAGGGCATAACCGCCCCCGTAACGTTTGGAATAATATTATATGAAAATAAAAACGAAATGTGTTTTTTTAGCAGTTTATTTCAATAACCACATTATCAAGCTTTAAATTGATGCATTTAAGAAAAAAATTAAACAGGTTTTGAAAATGTTATTACACAAAAATTACACTTAGTGAAAAAAACGGTTTACCCCCATTGTGAGGCACAACCTCACCCTCAAAAAAATCGATTGGGCTACACCTTTCATGGTACATTTTTTTTACAATTTTCACAGCTCAGATTATTTGATGATTTTGTTGCATGTTTGCATATTGTGCAGGCATTCTTTGTGTTTACATTTTCAGTTCTGCCCCAGAAGAGAGTTCTACCCCAGAAGAGAGTTTTTAGAAAGAATTCAGTTTCATAGATTAATTATTAGATTATGGTATTATCAAAAATGACTTTCACTTCATGAAATAATGCTGATAACACATATTTTTAACACTAAATTTAAATATTGCTTAGTTCTCAAAAAGAAGTTTAGGAAAAATATGATGTAAATATAATATTTTTATCAAAATAAAAATTATTATTCACAACTTCTCAGAAACTTAACACTAACTCTTTTTGACATATGCAAAATGAAGGAAACTGTTTTACTAACGTGTGGTATGTTTTTTGCCATATTAGATAACATTTTTTGAAGAGAAATGTTAAAAAACGGTTGTGCCTCCATATGCGGTTATGCCCCCACTTCCCCTATGTATAATTTCAAAACTCTTGTTTTACAAACGAATTATTACAGCAGATTTCAAATAAATTAAAATAAATTATCATTTTTTTTATGATTCTTATGGAAGAAAAGACTACAAAGGAAATTTGATAAATTATTTTTCTATATTTTACGTAGTCTTGTATTTATATTAAGATGTCAATAAGCCAGATGACGTCATAAAATGCAATACTTATTCTGGTAAACTCAAAGTTGCAAGAGTATACTTTTTCAACAGGGATGTACTGGATTTCCAGCCGGAGTTTGTATCTTTTAGATCAATTCGCTTCTGGCTGAAATTAAAAAACAAAAATTTTAACTTTTTTTTTTTATTAAATGTGACACAGGCTGTGTAAATAATTAAAAAAAATCATTATCCTACAGAGCAATGAAGAACTATAGATAAACCTACGTAAAAAATACAAATGTAATTTTATTTGCAAAAATAGTAGTACTGCAAATACATTTACAAAAATTACAGTTGTATTTTTTACTTAGGTTTACATATAGTTCTTCATGGCTCTAGGATAATGATTTTTTGATTTATTTACACAGCCTTTGTCATATGTCATAAAAAAAAAGTAAAAAAAAAAGTTTAATTCCAGCCAGAAGCGAATTGATGTAAAAGACACAAATTTCGGCTGGAATTCCGGTACATCCCTACTCTCAACTTTAACTAAACTTTTAACTTTACTTTTAACTTTAAATTGGAGATCTTAAAACCAGGGAATTCCCTGGTTTTAAGATCTCCAAGTTTTAAGATTTAACTTTCCTGGATTTGTTCTATCCTCTGATCTAAAACTTGAAAAGGGCATTTGTGGGTTTCAAGCACACTTAAGAGCCCATCCCTGCACCTAGTGTAAATCTGGTTCAAAGAAACATAAAAATCTAGGAAAATTGAGGACTTTTGAATCTCTGGAAAAAAGTTAATTTTCAAGTCAGCAGGTTCCAATATCAGAAAAGCTCGTAACTACAAAAATGTTACTCATTTTCCAATATTTAACGATCTGAAGACATTATAGGTTTTGAAGTTCCCATGGAATTGCATCTCTTAATTTGGGTTTTTAATCATCGCAACTCTTTGAACTTATGCATTACAAATTAAGCAACAGCCTTACAATGGTGGAAATTTTGAAGGAAACGAATCCAGAAAGCTGCTGCACAATATTGATGTTCTTCAATGAGTTGCTGAAACTAATGCTATGCAGCCATCCCATTCATTTACACTTTTCAAAAAATCAATGTGGTAGTGTCCGGCTGTTTTGGATGTAACTTTGATTTAAACAACCCACACATAATTGAAACATTCACAGTGTCTTATGTGGCATTGCGAAATGTATCTGTAACACCCTAGGTCCATGTGTTATTTTTCAATGTGAAATATTTCATCAACAGACATAGCCGAGGTCTTGGGATTTACTCAGAACAGGCAGCAGAAGCAATGCATCACTACTTTTAGATAGATTGGCAAAGATAAAAAAGGTCCAAACATCATCCATAAAAAAGCTAAAATGTTGCCTCGTTGACTTCAAAAGTACCTTGTTTAAGTTAATGTAAATTGGAGATTTTTGCTACTGTAAAAAGCAAAATAAGCTGTAATTTCACATGTTTGTGCAATCAATAAAATATGAAAGTTCAAATGTAAATAACTTGTAATCTAATTTCAATACTTTTATCAAAGTGATCCCTGTAGTGTTGGCTATCATTCCACCAAAGGGTTTCTCCGAGTCAAAAAGTTAAGGTTAGCACCTGTTTTATAACATTGTGTACACGAAAATATCTACTTCATCCTGTTAAGTATAGTTTTTATTTAAAATATTATCTTTTTTTAATAACTTTAAACATAAAATATTAGGAGATAAATATTTGCGGCTGTGGCGCAGTGGTTAGAGCGCTTGCTTTATAAGCAAGAAGTCTAGGTTCGAAACGAGCTTTGGACCAACAAGCGACATTGGTACGAAAGGAGGCGTGAACTTCCTGTTAAATGCTCGCCCGCGGTGCTCTGTGATTAGGCCGTAGGGACTACTGGGAGCACCTAAATAACTACAAATATATATATATATATATATATATATATATATATATATATATATATATATATATATATAATATATATATATATATATATATATGTATATATATATATATATATATATATATATATATATATATATTTATATATATATATATATATATATATATATATATATATATATATATATATATATATATATATATATATATATATATATATATATATATATATATATATATATATATATACATATATATATATATATATATATATATATATATATATATATATATATATATATATATATATATATATATATATATATATATATTGAAGGATTCATTACAAAAAACGGAAAAAAATTAAAGAAAAAGAAACAAATAGGAGTCTTCATAAAAGATAAAATATAAATATAAGTAATTTACAAAATTTTAAATACTTTAAGTTAACTCTAAAAATAAGAACATAAAAATATAAGACATTAAGAACATAAAAAAACGAATATGCAGTTTTGATATATTCTATCTCTACGTAAAATTTGTAGTTTGTATAATTTAATTTTTAGACGTGTTGACAATCTTCAGTTACGATCTTAGATGATTTGTTTAAGCTCTTGTTAATATCTTCTTTAGAACGAAGACATTTCTAAAAATCATCATTTGTAAAATGACTGAATTCTATTTTTATATGTGCACGAAGTACTTCGATGACGTGTACAGTTCGAATGACACTGATATTTAAGCTATTCCTTGTGAGTAACGCATAGTTTTGTGTATAAAATTTATGACTGCAGATGCTGGCTGGTCTGGGTCAAGTTCTGCACACATAAGACATTCATTTTCTTGAGGCTTAGCTGGTTTGCGTACAACAATACCAAATGTCCTAAAATTATATATAAAATACATTTAATAATTATAAAATCATATTTAAAATTACTTAGCATTAATTACTATAAAAATATTTTTAACAAATAAGATTAGAGGAAAAAAAACTGTTTTCTTTAATAAAATATAATTTAAGTTGTTAAACGTGTCAAATAGATATGGCAAAAAATATTTATTTATGTGTAAAAACATAAATATTATTTATGCAAATGTTTCATATTAAAAAGTAAAAAAATTTATTAAATTTATTAGGCAAATAAAAAAAAAAAAAAGAAAAAAAAAGAAAAAGAAAACTCACCGAACTTCTTTATCGCAATTAGGAACAATTGCTTTAAGGCTAAATAAGCGGTCTTTTGGATCGACTCCGCAGTGCAAGACATGTTCCATTGGGTAATGACGACGAAAGAATAATCTGTAAATATTATGTTTACAATATGTATTTATTCTTGTACATTTTGTTGAGTTTGTTTAATTAATAATGAATTAATACAAATATGCCGCTACTATATAAATTTAAAAGTAAACACGATATTTTTTGGAATTTAGTATAAGGTAGAAAGTTAGAGTTCTGAAGAGTTTTTAAATTTAAATTCAAAATAAATAGATATTTTAAATACCAGAAGAAAAGATGGATGAGAGATGAAAGAGTTGAAGAAGTTGGGTGTACTACTATAATCATTGGTAAAGTAAAGAGAAACACACACCAAACAAAGTAATATCATTTATCGTAAAACATTTTTTTTGAAACTCAAAGTTTTTTTATTTTATTTTATTTTTGATAGCTCAATAAACTAAATTTAACAAAAGTTTGGAGAAATAAGAAAAAAAATGAGAATAAAAAAAAAAAAAAAATTCTTATCTCATTTAAAAATACTTTAGAAACTTGTGCTTTCTAACTATGGTTTATAACTATATTTAAATACATTGTAATGCAAATTGCTTACTTTCTGTTATTATCAGTAAGTGTAATGCCTTGTTGATTGACCTTGATATTAACGATAGTAGATTTTAAATTGACACCGGCAGCAATAATTTTATTCATAGAATATTGGACAGCACCGTCACCTGTCAGAGATTCTACATTAACTATACCTAGGTATACTAGGTTACATGCTGCTCCCTTTATTAGGAGTTGTGATTCAGTTATTGTAGATGTGTGTGTATTGTAACCATCAACAGAATCTTAAACCAGAAAAAAAAGCTGTTAAATATAGTTTTTGATAACTTGTATAAAAAAATGGAGTAAAAAAATTTACCTGATTCTTCATTTATGACCAAGGTGATTGGTAATGCCATTTTAGTTAAAGTGTGTTGGTATATCAGAGCAACTAAACTTGGGAAAGCTGGTTCGTTTGTGCTACCTTTTAAACGAACTCCTTTTTTGCAAGGTTCAATTAAAAAATGCCGGACAAGTTCGTTGTTCATATCTAGTTTGCCTGCAATAAAGAATTAAATTACGCGTTAAAAGAGTTTGACTGTAAAATATGTTTAAAAAGTTTATAAACCAATTTAAGTATAAATACTAGTTTAGATTTATGTACCCAGTTTGAGCCTAGTTTCAAGCAATTTTTATCTATTTTTAACCAGTTTATGAATTAGAATCACCTCAATTTCATCTAATTTTACAGTTTATGAATTACAATCACCACAATTTCATCCAGTTTAATAATTTACGTCTCCGGTTTAATAATTTACGTCTCCGGTTTAATAACTTACGTCTCTGGTTTAATAATTTACGTCTCCGGTTTAATAATTTACGTCTCCGGTTTAATAATTTATGTCTCCGGTTTGATTATTAGTAAAGCATCATATATTTTAAATGCAAAGCGCCGAATTAAACCTCCGTTTTAATCTATTGCTAAGATTAATAAAACCCGTAAAGATCATCAAAATTAAGAAGATTGAAAAAAAGTAGCTTTCTAAGACGATTTTAAATATAATTATTTTCAGAAACGACTGTAGGCAAAATAGACGATGCCCAATTGACACGAGAAATGACGTTTGGTACCTGATTCCTAATGACAGAGGAAGTTTGATGTGATCAATGAAAAAATGAGCGTTTCTTTTTTCAAGGATAGAAGACAATTTGATTTTAATGCAGAATATTAAATTTCAAATACACATCCAATTAGTTAAAACTGTAGGTTTCTGATTTAAACTTAAAAAACTTAAGCTGGCTATCTTAATCACTTGACTTATACCCAATAGAACAATTATCAGAAACGCTAGGTTGTTATCTTTGAAAGCATACATATTTAAACAAAGATGCATAATTCAAATGATTTAAGAAAGAATGAGATAAAATTCCATATGCTTGTATTATCAAATATTTAAGTCAATGCCATATCGTTGTGTGATTGTTATTGCTAAAACAGGTATGGTTATGTGTGTTTTATAAAACATAATAAGTTTTATGAACTCATAAATTTTATGAATTAACATCTGTGTGCGATTTCAGTCGCAAGTAGAATTAATTTGTAATAAAACTTTAAATGTAAAAATATTTTTCATCTGGATTCATAATTGGATCAAGATATCTTGCAATGCATTTTCTGTCCCCAACTTTAAATCGCTCGCAAACATTCTCTATCACTCGCTATCATTCTCAATCACTCGCTTTCACTTGCTTTCAAGAGGCAAGAGAACGCATACGCTATCCTGCCTCTTGAAAAAATTTTTAAATTATTTTAGAAAATAATCTAAAATAATTATTGCTAAGTAGGATAACCAAGTAACCTGTTTTAAAATAACCAAGTAGCCTGTTTTAAAACAATGTCGAGTAAACAGCGTAGGGTAAAACGTAATATTGCAAACAGTTAATGATGTCGTATAAACGTGCATTATGATTTAAAAAAAGCTTTACAAAACATTTTTGTTACAAAGGGTTCAAATAAGAAAAAAGAAATATGTGAAAATATAGTATAATTAATAGTTAACTTAATAATCAATCTTAATTGGCAACTGACTTTTCCTTCTAAATTTATAATTTTTTGTTTTATTTAACTGCAAGATGATCCGCAAAAATGTGAATTGCATAATATATAAGTTGTTTAACTAGTAAAACTCATTTTTAATCCGGTAAAATAATTTCTTTTCCCGTAAAATACTTACTTTACCGGTAAAATACATTCTTGCCGTTTTAAGACTATATTTATGACTCCAGCCTGCCTCAAAAGAAATCTTCAGTCAGCATATATATGTTTTTCACCATCATGTTAACTAACTTTTTTTCAATAGTTATCAAAAAAAGTTGATGCACAGTTAATAAAAAAGATCGAGTGACTGGTTTCGTAATTGTATGCGTGTATGTATTAAAGTTTTGTATCACAGTTTTGTATTATACGTTCACACTGCGTCAAAAGTTTTTGTTTACAGTTGTGACTTATACGTTCAATTAAAAAACTAATAATCAACATTGTTTTTAAAAATCTCTTACTCAAATCACCACCAGTTTGCTTAATGATATTTATTGGCAACACATCAACTTTTACAGCTAAACCAAAGGCTCCTAGGTAAGACTTGCTGTCCCGTACAATAAACGAACCAGGTTGCTTGTCTCGAAGTAATTCAGCGGCTATAATTAAATTGAACTGTTAAAACTTTGTTAAAAAAAAAAAGTATGTAAAGCTTATTACAAAAAATCTTTGGTGAACAATATTAGACTAAGATACCTTCGTCTCTAGATATGTGCGGCTTATACCACAAATTTTTTGTGTCTTTTTCAAACTTGACTGAAGTGTTTCGCGCTACTTCGAGAAAAAGTTCTAAAAATAATGTTTTTGTGATATAACTGCGCAACTTGATTAGTATTTAAATACTACCTTTTAACTGTGTTGAAATTTATTAATTAAAAAAATAATTAAATTATAAATCTGTTGTAAAATGGCAAAACAAGCTATTTGTTTTTCTAAATTTCCACATCAAAAACTTAAAGAAATGGACGTATAAAATATATTTTTTTTATGCTCAAGTTTTTTTTTGGAAAAAATCTTACACACCGTATTCAAATTATTTATGAAAAAAAACCTCCATGCTGCGTTTATCGCTAACTATCAATTTATAGTGTTTTGCTATTTTTATAAAAAATTAACGTCTAATTTAATGTCAAAAAATGTCGAAAAATTGATTAACGTAGGCTAATAAAAATTAAAGAACAAAGCTAATAAAAATTAAGGATCGTAGTATATAAAGATAAAGTAAGTAAATAAAAATAAAGATAGCAAAATAAATTATTGTTTTTTTGTTTAACTTTTACGCGGAAATTTTCATGATTTAATTTTAGAAAGTAAACTATGTATATTCTAACCTGCGGAAGATGTGGACGAATTGCTACTTCCAGAACCTCGGTACTTTCTATTTCGTATTGTGTTAAACTTTGGACTATCGGGTGATTTTGGGCTGAAGCTGCATTCACTACCAATCGCGCTATCTGCAGATATGGAATGATGAAATGGTAGATCTGTTTTTCTCTCTTTAATTCCACTTAAATATTGTTGACCTGAAAGGTTGCTAATTGATCGAGGAAAACGTGGTAATTTAGGACTATCAACTGCACTACTAGATGATTTTGGACTGGAGCCAGACTCACTTTCAAATGAACTATCGCCGGAGTTAGATTGATCAAAAGACGGTTCTTTTGTTCTTTCAAAAATACTTTTAGAATCAAATTGTAGTTTATTTTTTTTTATCGTTCCATTTACAAGCATTTGTTTTGTGCCATTTAAATCTGGCTGTTTTGCGTTGTATAATTCTGGTGATTTTGGGTATAAATCTGAATTATATTCAAGAGTGTTTACAAAACCTCTTTGTTCAGTATTATAATGAGGTTGATTCTCATTTAAGTCTGTTACTTTTATTCTATCGTTTTCTATTGTCCTATTGATTGTTGCATTGGGAAAATAAGATATCTTGGAGCTATCCAGTGCACTATAACAATTATTTATGAAAACAAATATTAACTTTTATATCATTATTTTCAAATATTATTGTTAGTATTAAAAGTAATTTTTAGTATTTTTTTAATTAAATATTAAAAATATTTTTTATTTTTTTCAAAAGTTTTTTATAACTTGATACTAGGTTAGAAAAAAATGTTTTTTGTGAATGCATGTAGATCGAATAAGAGAATATTTTGTTAGTTCTGTAAGTTTTGTAGAACGGAAAAAAAAAATTTGCACAATTTTTAAATTACTTAGTAGGCACGGACCTGAAAAAACAGTCTTTTGAACGTTTAAAGGACGCCTTTTGAACGTCTTTTGAACGTTTGGATCCTGTTTCCTGAACCCACTGTGTAAGCTTTTCTTAAATAAGAAAATATTCATTTTTATAAACGCAATTGCATTACAAAGCATTTAAGTTTAAGAGTAATAGCTTTCATGGTTGGCATTCTTTAAACACTCAGGGTTTACAATTCGATACTTAAAAATTCATCATCATCCATCCATCTTTTTGCATCACTTTTTGTGATGTATAGTTTGTGTGGCGATAAAAGCAAAAAAAAAAACTATTTTAAAACTTGTCGGCAAAAAAAAAAACTTTAGGTTTCTATACATCCTCAAAACCAGCGTGTATATAAAGCAACTTACTTTTATTTAAAGGTAAGCTCCTTTATATACACGCTTTATATACACATTACAGACGTTCATTCGTCCGTAAGTCATCCGACGGACGTCCCCTGGACGACGCATACTCACTGGGTATACAGCAACTGACCTTTTTAAGTAACAAAGTGAAAAAAAATGTTTTATTTATTAAAAAAACTTGTGAACCCAATTTGTTTTAAATACGATTAGTTAAATGCATTTAAAAAGTTTTATTAAACCTTTGACATTTATTTAACCAATCAAAACTATCTTAAAAGATAGTGAAAAGATTTGGCGCGTTTTTTCTCATCACAGTTGTCGTTAGCGATTGGTTAAATGAATGTCAAAGGTTTGAAGATAATGAAAAGATTTAGCGCGTATTGTTTTATCACAGTTATCATTTTGTTATTATTATTTTTAATACTACTATTTTTTTTTTTAATGTTGGAAAACATTTGAACCGCTGGATTTTATCGATTTTTTTAAAAAAAGAATATTCAATAGCTTTTCTCTAGCGAATGGAAGTAGCTTTAATTATATAAAAATGAAATGTATAACAGCGAAAAACGTGTTAATAGAGTAAGAATAAAATTACTTGTTTTCCATAGCATTTCGTTGATTATATTCATTCACCATTGTTTCATTTTTTATGTTTAACGGTTTTAAAATAGCATTAGATTTTGGGATTCGTTGCAAAGTCTTTGGCGGCTCCGTTTCGTACATTTTTTTTTCGAACTCAATTAAATGTTGAAAAATTTCGTCGTTGAAACTTGCAACCTCTTGAGATACATATGACGGTTGAATTCGTTCTTCAACAATTGTCAGCGAACTAAATAAAGGAAGCAATGAACAATACTTATTTTAAAACAAAATAATATTTTGCATAACATCAAAATTCTTAAACTTTAAAGCTTTTTAATAGATCATTAAATATTTTTTGTAACATCTAAATCTGGCTGTCAAAAGTTTTTTATTTTTACAAAATATTTTAAAATAGAAATTTTTTTCAAAGTTATGAAAGTCATCTATCTTTTATATTTTTCTTTTTTTATTTTCTACCATGATACTATCAAATTTCTATAAAGCCTTTGCTTTAAAAAAAAAACAATTAAATAAAGTAGAAACAGAGCTAAATGACTTTGAAAGCTATAAAACAATAATGCTAAATCGGATATATATATATATATATATATATATATATATATATATATATATATATATATATATATATATATATATATATATATATATATATATATATATATATATATATATATATATATATATAGTTATATAGATTATATGTTTTATTTATAATGACAATATTTCATATACATAAATGACAATATAAATGACATACTATATAATATATAAATACTATAAATATAAATGACAATATAAATGACATACTATATAAATGATAATATAAATGACAATACTAATGACAATGTTTCATATATATAAATGTATAAGGCCGGGGCGAAAGGGTGGGGTTATTGTCGACTAGGCAGTCGGCAAAGTTAAAAAAACGAGGACTTTTTTTTTTTTAAGTTAGCAAAAATTGTAATTATAGTAGTAAAAACACGAAGAACATCGGTTTGAAAAATTATTACTACCTATATATAAAAGTGGTGTGGATTACTATCCACAACAGATAAGCTTATAACCCACAACAGATAAGCAGATAAAAAACAAAAAAAAATTAGAACTTTGTAAGAAAACATTTTAAATATTTAAGTTCGTTACATCACAAGGTCGCGTTATTTTTTTAAATAAGATATGGTAAGCAGGGCTGGCGCGAGTAGGTTTTACGTGGAAGGGGAGGGGCATGTCATTACAACATTTGCCGACTAAAAAAAAAAGGTCTTCGTCTATATATATATATATATATATATATATATATATATATATATATATATATATATATATATATATATATATATATATATATATATATATATATATATATATATATATATATATATATTGTGTAAATGATATGTGAGTTTGTGGAAATATTCATTCTTTTTTAAATTTCAAATTTTTATAACAAATATAACTTTGGCTTATATCGCGACGACGGATTAGCAGTTTTTAAAAATGTTACTTGCCAGCAAATGGAGAAAATTAAAAAGCATATCACGCACTTATTCAAATGTAACAATCTTAATATATCTATACAGTGCAACCTCTGAATTGTGAACTACTTTGACGTAACTCCTAACCTCTGCGACCAGTCTTATCAACCATACAGAAAACCTGATAATACTTTAAACTACATACATGCTCAATCTAACCACCCTCCTAGTATATTAAAACAACTACCTAAAAATGTTGAGCTGAGATTGTCCGGAAATTCTAGCAGCGAAGAAGTGTTTAATAAATCTTTATCTGTCTATAATGAAGCATTACGAAACTCTAGTTATAAACATAATTTATCTTACCAACCTAACTTAAAACAACAACAAAAGAAAAACCGTACATGCAAAATAATATGGTAATTTTCAACAGTAACACTGTAAAAATTAGCTACAATTGCATGCCAAACATGAAATCGGTGATAAATTTACACAACAAGCACATCCTAAACAAAAATCGTACCATTAATAAAGATAACTGCAACTGTCTTAATAAAAACAATTGTCCTTTACTTAGTAACTGCTTGACCAACAACATTGTATAACAAGAAACCATCACTTCGGATAACCTTTCAGTAAAAAAATCATACATTGGTATTAGCGAAACACCTTTTAAACTGAGATATGCTAACCATTTGAAATCATTTAATACCCCCAAGTATAGAAACGATACAGAGCTGTCAAAGGAATTTTGGAACTTAAAAGATAGTAATAAAAATCCTGCGGTTAATTGGAAAATAATTAGAAAATGTGAAGCATGTAACCTGACAACAAAATCGTGCAAATTATGCCTTAATGAAAAACATGAAATTATTTCAAACAATGACAACAGTTTATTAAATAAGAAAACTGAAATTATATCGAAATGTCGGCATAGAAATAAATTCCTTCTTAGTCAATTTGACCCAGGGTAAAGGTAAACTTCATGTAATTGATTTTTGACACAAGATCTCATTGCATTGCGTTATTTGTATTTTTAATTTCTTGATTTAAAAGTATATGACTGATAATACTAAATAGTTATATATATATATATATATGTATGTATATATATATATATATATATATATATATATGTGTGTGTGTGTGTATATATATACAGGGCCGGCGCGTGTAGGTGTCACGTTGGGAAGGGGTGCCATTACAACTTTTGCTGACTAAAAAAAAAAAAAAAGATCCTCGATTTTTAAA